GTTTTCTTGTAATGTCTATAACTTTGCAAAGAATGGTCATGTAGAGCTGGGAGATGTCTCATTTTAATCAGAAATTTGCAGACCACAATCATGTCTCATTAAGAAAAGATTTTGGTTACTTTTCAGAGTTTCTGAAAAAGTAGTTTTCCAGAAAAGCGGGTCTTCAAGAGTCATGGGCCGGAATCCTTTTAAGGTATTTACTACCTTACTGACGTCTATCGATCCATGTACAAAGTCTTTGAATCAGAAGTGTGCATCTCGTGAGATTCTCTCGTCAGTCACAAAAATCTTGTTTTCTAGATTTTATGAAAGTCAGACTTTGCTCTTTTCGACGGGAAAAAAAAGTTTACGCTGTAGTATATCGAGAATATGTAGAAATGATGTTGGATATTTGTCTAATTACTTCTGAATCTTAGACTATCAATCGCTATTCGTCATTAGTTAGAAAATCATTACCATTGCATTGAAAGATTAAGGATTAACATGAATAAAAGAAAGTAAAGCATGTGTTTACCAACAAGATGAAAAGAGAGAACATACGAAAATAATTTTATTAAATGAACTGAACAATGTATGAAAAAACCTAACAAACATTATGTATAATTAACTTGATGTGGTAAAGAAGAGGTAACGTCTACTGTTAAGATTTTGTGAACATTTTTTTTTATTGTGCATCGCGTCATAACAATAGATATGCCTTTGTACAGTTGTCTATTCAACTTTATTTTTTTGCCTTTTATACACATTGAATGAGACGAGAAGAGGAAAGGTAGGAAAAAAAAAATCCTTGATTTAGGCGTGCAAAGTGCATTTACCATGTGCTCAGGTATCATCATTTTATAACATACGTATAATAGGTGATAATATGTCTTTTCTCGTTTAAAAAATTCTTCAAGTCACATTTATTGGTTATAAGATTAAATGGGATCATCTTTATACGATTTAAGATTCTTTCACTCGTACAAATTGAAAATGATTCTCAGAGAAGTATTTTATTTTATTTCAAATTTAATTTTATCCTTTTATTTTCAAATTTATTTAGTTAATGGTCTTACGTAACTATCGTTTTCGAAAATCTTTTAAAAATCTTCGAAATGTATTTATTAGTTTAATTATTCTAATATGTTTCGTTCATATGTATTTATTTAAAAAAGCTTCAATAAAAGTGAAGAAACCTCCTAAACTAAGATATGATTATAATCGTCGTTTAGCCTTTAATGCTTCTACATGTGACTTTAATCAACTCAATTATTTATTAACGTATACACATCGTCTATCAATAATTGATGAACAAAATCAAGCACAACCTACACTAAATAGATTAAAAACATTAATTACTACGTTAATGTCGTATGAAGAACAATATTCTACAGTATTTAAAATATTACGTATATTTTCATTTAATGATACAAAAACATTTCAAGTATTTGGCAATAATAAAATTATTCTAAAAGATATATTATGTTTGTACAAAAGATATTTTATTTTACCATCACAAAATCAATCTGAAAATAGTACAATTGATATTCAACCGGACTTAATTAATTATTTAAGACAAATATCAAAATATTTAGTCGATGGTTTCAGATATCCTAGACTAGAATGGAGATCAAACATGGTAAGACAACAAGAATAATGTTTATGCATACTCTGGACGAATAATCTGTTAAACGTCCATTTAACTATTTAGAAAAGTCTCAATTTTCATTTTATACAATGGAGTTTTGATTTCTAAATACGATTATGTTAAAACTAAGTAAATTTATTTACAACGGTTTTTCATGATCCATTTCAAGAAGCAACGCGATTCTTCATTCTCTGAATAATTCATTTGAGATTTAGCTGATTTATAATCCCAAAATTTAAAACATCATTGATTTTTTACTTAGATAATTTTACCTAGTGTCATCGAAAATGTTCGTCTGTCATGGTTTAGGTGTGGCCTTCAATTTGCAGAAAGTATAATATGAGGTTTAATAATCAGCTCAGTTTGAAAACGCTACACTTTTATATCCATTTTTATAGGACTACCTCAAATTTCGTATTTTTAACTCGAAAAAGAGTTCTCACAGCTTCGAAGTATTTTTTGTTATTTACATTAAGTTATTTCTTCTGATAACTGATTGTGAGTTGAAATTCAGATCAAAATCATCTCTGAACTTGTCTTTTACAGAAAATTCAGTCTAGATTCAGAGCAACACAGAATTTTCATCTCTGAATTAGAAGATCGATTTTGATGAAGTCTGATACAAACCTGATAAAACAGCGTAACTATTTAAACCGAACTGATTGTCGACTACTAAAAACACTTGTGAGAATCACGAAAATAATGGGAAACATAAGTTATCAATTATGTTAATGATAAGACTTATGGCAATATTTCTATTAAATACCACCACCCCATAACAGAAAACCATGGTGGGATTATTGCACGTTCATACTGATTAATGTGTGAGGCAGTTAAAACAGAGTATATTTTGAACGTCTAAAAATGTTCTGACTAAATATATGAAGAAAATTATAAATTTTTCAGTTTTACATGAAACTAGTCCAAAATATGTTATTTCACCAAATACTATAGTTTTCATTTGATTTTTGGAATTTTTCATGAAAACAAGCATTGATATAGCACTCAGCATAATCGATAACCTATGTTTCTGATATTTTCACATGTAATGTCACTTCATCCTTCTCACAAATTGTGGGTCACACTTAAACTACGACAGATGGATAGTTCCGACGACACCCATTTCTTACACTTTGAGCTTATGTATTTAGGTAAAAAATCAATTACATTTCAAATTTTGGAAATCTAAACTGATTGTATAAACAAATACACCGATTCATTTTTCAAAGATGCTTTACCTTTGCAAAGGAATTTGTTAAACTTATTTACTTATGAATAGTTGTATTCTTATCTTCGACTAGTTATGTTTGACATCTATTTGTAGATGGCTAATCGTTCTCAGTCGAAAATTATTTAAAAAATAATAGATTGGAATACTGTTAAAATGGGTAGCAGTTACAGAAAATTTTAGATCATGGACAGTTGAACTAGTCCTTAGAGCCCGCACAGTCATTGAGACTATCTTTCTCTGAATAACAGTAAGAAGATAATTGATAAGATAGCAATAGTAGCTGTTTTTAGATTCATCTTTATTTAATAAAAATTAAAATTAAAGAAATTGTTTTTTTTGTATAAATAAATCTTTTTATAAAAATAAAGTCGACGTTTCGAAAATTGTAATTTTCATTATCAAGACAATAGAGACGATTAACACGATGTAAAGTTAAAACGAATATGACTGAATAAATAAACATAGGGAGTAAGATACATTTCGTTT